TATATATATAAATTATTTTTCATGCCTTAACATGGCTTGAACATAACACCTTTACCTCACTTAGTATATGTGGATACATTTAGTAGGCTATTCGCCTGCTGCATATTTACTCATTTGGCAAGTGGCAATATTGGATTAATTCAGCCATATACGTTTGAACAAGAAACTGATTCCAAAAAAAGGAGCAAATTATTCAGGGTCATCTACATGTTAATGTATCAGAATGGTAATACATTCTATGTATCGCTCCCTACAACGTCGGATACGTAAAGGTAACAGATATCATTAGCCTTTGGCTTGACTACATTTTCAAACAGATAAAAATGTGTTGCTTAAACCATGTTCTTGTGATATACTAATGATAGGTTGACTGGATTGATTACATGTTTGTGATGGCAGTAGACAGGAACCGTTTCAAACCATGTTTTTCAGAGTTTCTTATGCAGTTTTAAGGAGAAAATGCTCAGCAATGGTGTTGACTGATGAATCTGCACATGGTTTGTCTTTAAAGGGATAGTTCACCCAAAAATGAAAATTACCCCATATTTTATTCACCCTCAAGCCATCCTAAGTGTATATGACTTTCTTTTTTATTAAAAAATGTCCTGGCTCTTCCAAGCTCTTCATTGAATGGTGGTCAAGATTTTGAAGCAAAATAAAGTGCATCATCCATCATAAAAAGTACTCCACACGGCTCCGAGGGGTTAATAAAGGCCTTCTGAAGTGAACCGATGCGTTTGTGTAAGAAACATATCCATATTTAAAACTTTTTAAACTGTAATAATAGCTTCCACTATGTGGTCACGAGAGAGTGGCGTTCCAGTGGATGACAGAGAACATAGCGTAAGCATCATAGATATTAAAAACACCAGATAGACATCTAAACAACGTCATAAATTGGATTTTCACCATAGAGGGACTTAGAAATTAGAACTAAGCAAAAATATATTTTAATACAATATATTTTTTTTTTTGTGGAAGTCATTACAAAAGGGCTCCTGATGGTGGCAGGCTGGAGGCAAAGAGCCATGATATAAATTCAGACATCAGTGAAATTAATATATTACTAAAGCAGTTTTTTTCTGTCTTTTTGCAAATATCTAACTTAAGCTTAAAATAAATGACTAACTTTTTTGTATTTTTTGTTATGTAGGCTAATTAGCCTAAGTAATGTGGACATAAGTAATATAGCCTATAGCTGTAGATTTTTAACAAGTGTTCTTTATAATTATTCAGACAACTTCAGTTTTGTTGATAATATGATTAAATATAAATAGGCAAAAAGTGAAACTATATTATAATTTTAATGCATGAATTGGAAAAAAAAAATGTTTATAATGTTGTGGGGTAGCCTATTCAAAAAATTTATTTAATTTTATATATATATATATATATACAGGTGCATCTCAATAAATTAGAATGTCGTGGAAAAGTTCATTTATTTCAGTAATTCAACTCAAATTGTGAAACTCG